TTCCCCCCTAAGCGGGTCGTCATGGGTTCTTCAGTCCCACTTCAGAGAACCTACTGTAGCCATTGGCCAATGTTGAAAACGTGGCAGCTGCGCGGGGCAGAGGAAAAGGCAAACCTAGAATAGCTGGGCGCTTTGGGATCCTTCAGTGCCCTTTGGGATGCTCCAGGAGGTCAAGCTCATGTGGCTGGATCGAGCGCAGGTGTGGCGGGACGGCTCCAGACGCTTTCGGCCACAGTTGTCAAGGCACGAGGATCATCCATCAGTGCACCTGGAGGAGCGCGCTCAATGCATCAACAGCCATGTGTCAAGTTTCACTATCTCAAGATCTCAAGAGTGTCTTGTGGAAGTTTTTTGCATGTGGTCATGTTTTTCCGCCTGCCCTCGTTCAAGCAACCCTGCTCTTCCTGAGCAAAGTAGGTTTTTTGATTGGAACATATTGGAACTAGTTTACGTCCCACCATTCCAACATGTCGCACCACGGTTGTCCAAGTTTCTTCAAAGGTCAGATGACACGTGGCCTTCAGGAGGATCATATTCGGCACGTGGCTTCTGCTCCTGCCCGCATGCACAACAGACCAACTGGCCGCGGCTCCCAGTTGCAGAAGACTCTGGACATGATCCAGCCACAAGGGCATGGAAGGAAAACTTTCAGCCTGAGGACAGGTATGGGCCGGTTTGGTGTTTCAGGTTGGCACACCTTGCTTGATAGAATCCCAAGTTGCGCAGGAAAAGTGATTGTGCCAGATCCCATGCCAAAGCCGAGTGGTTTCAGCCAGTTTCATAATTTTCTGTTCAATCAATTTTGTCGTCATCGATATCCGCTAGCCTGTTTGGCTACTGCAAAGACCATGAACGTGGAATATGTACAACATTATAAGATATGAAAGGTATCAATGCGCATATGCCTGCAGCGACTGAGTATGTTGGACTTTGATGTGAAAAAGAAAGATGCCCGTCGAATTGTCTATGTGGGAGGAAATCCTTGCACGGCCGGAACTTCTTGGTGATGGATACGCTGAGAATGGACCCTCGAGATGCCGAGGAAATCACCAGACAGATGCTCTTGAACAGCGTTGATGCCTGGTGGTCTCAGTACAGAAGCTTGAATAGGGGAAGGTTGTGTGGGGTGCGTGGGGGCTCTAGGCAGAGTGCAAACCTGGGCAATCCGTGTGCTCACCATGCACGAAGGAAAGCTAAATCAAAGAATCTAAGACCAATTTGGTTCCAGGGCATCCACTTGCTTGAGTGCTGGCAGGGTCCAAATCTACCCAGCAAGCCGCAATTTGTGGCTGCATCCAGAAACAGAAGCACTCACAAGAAACCTAGCGATCCTGCTAGGAACCTACCGTTCGGCAGAAGAGCTGTCCAAACAGAACTGGATCAACTGGCGCCAAGATGTGCTTCGCCGCCCCGATGCGTTGATTTGGGATGCGCCTGAGGCGCGGGCCTGGTCTTCAGAAATCAAGGGATAAGATGATAAGATTGACCAGAAATTGCAGGATACACAAGAATTATGTAAACATCATAAACAAAACTCAGGAAATCCCATTCTCTACCATTCTGCATCCACCGAACACCTGCATATGGCAAATGGGGTGGCATGTCTTGGCTTTTCAGAGGGTTTTGGAAGGCTCCTTTCCTCCACAAACAGGGGAGCTTTCCTACTTCCAACTTCCATGTTTGTTTAAGGAGGGATTTGGATAAGGTTGGACATTTTCAGTGTATGGATGCTACACATTGAACATTTTGAGCCAGTGTGTTTGAGTTCTTTTGGCCATGACGGGCCTTGCGAACAGCCATCCACGAAAGAATCACCTCTCACTTCACTGACCTACTTGTTTTGATGGGGCAACCAGTGGAGGTTGGGAGGTGCGACAAGGGGAGTTCTTGAGACAACTAGAGGGAAGATGTCCAAGGACGATCAGTAAACAGGGGGTGGCCGCAGTGAACAAGTTTCTGTCACTTGCTGCTTTGCTTCGAGCCAGGTCTTGAAGTATCCCGAGATGTCCTTCTCCGCCCAGGGCTACCAATGGCTTCACAAAGAAGTTGAGAATCGCCTGAGAGAAAGGCCGGAATTCCGGAGCCTCATTGGCGAGGGCTTTTAAGATGGCTCGAATGCCGGAGTAGCTAGAGCGAAGGCCCGTTGTTTCTATTTTTTTGGGGGGGTCCTAACTCAACCATTGGCGTCATGTTTGGATGGCTCGTTGCATGCCACCCATATTTTGGGTGGTTCTACGGCCTGAGGGCCTGGAGCTCAACAAGAGTTCACGCGGTTGTGAGAAAATTTGCAGTATCATTGATATGGGCTGTGGCCCTTGGCTGCCGGCTACAACCAGCCCTGCACAACACAAACAAGCATGGTCAATCACATACTGACATACTGTTTTGATTGCACATCCATTGCAGTCGTCTCACTTGAAATAGTCGTCTCCTAGATGCCCTTCTCCTTGCGGAGACTCGCGAATGCGGTGGGAAAATGATTTTCGGCCTTTGGGATATTAAGGCGCCATGAGGTGCTTGCTTGCAGATGTTGGTTGCTGCATCCTTTTGTTGCGAAGCAACTGGCCCCATTTTGCCAGCAACCGGCTGCAGGACGGAAAGCCCACTGGCCCTTTTAGCGCCTCTGCTGCCAATGCAAAGGGCGACCACACTGGATCTAGAGCCTTGGCCATCATATAGAGAGAGAGAGAGGGAGAGAGAGCGCGCGCCGAATCTTCATCGAACACCATTTGCATTTGACGGAGTGGTGTCCACGGTGTCCAACAAGCTGCAGCGATCGTCTTAGCTAACTGCTACATGCGAGATTTTGACAAGGCACATCAGACACATCAAGGTGCTATGTTAGACAGTAGAGCTACACGCTCGTCGTTGCCCCAGGCATGTTTGGCAGCTGGCTTCGACACTTGCCTTCACAATTGAGATATGATGAAAGAAGCCCAGGAAAGTCCCACATGCCCAGTTATCCGCAGCTAGACCGACCTTTCAAAGGCAAAAGCATGGGCAGAGTTTTCGAAACCAACCCAAACCTGACCTACTCAGGTGACAACTGCATTATTGCTTGGGGTCTCTTCTACACGGACCCAGAGGCTATTCAAGCTGGAGTGTTGAGGGGCATTCATGACGCTGGCCTGTTAGTGGTATTTATACGGTATAATATATTCATTGGGGAACATGTTGCTATTCGGTTCAAGCAAAGCCGCATCGCTGCATCGCTCACCGGATGGGCGAGGTGCTAGATAGAGCAGCCTTCGTTTCTTCTGAGCTGATCTTCCATGGGTTCAATGAATAGCTGTTTTGGGTGAGAAGCAGATATAGTTAGCAAACAATCAGACCAATTACGTTGTTTTGAAAACAATGTTTCAAAGTTCAATAGTGTAAACAGTGATGTTGGATGAATTTGATGGCCTGCCCGAGTTGAGCTGAAAGACTCGCAGACGCAAGAAAGCAGGTAGCTGTCCCTGGCTGTCCCTTAGACATCGTGAATTCGTGTAAATTCACCATAACAAGAAGTCAGACACCACACCCAATTATACTCGCAACGGACCATGTATGGATGAAGCAATTACTGGCTGCTTGAAGCTGAAGCTGGGTCCATGCCTGCTTGTTCTATGAGCCAGACACTAGACGACAGACGACGGCAGATCCATATATAGACATTTGCCTCACGTAATAACTTAAGCTCATTCAATGCAAGCTCCCTTTTTTCATTGCTGATGACGCGCTACGGTCATTTACGTTCCAGTGTTCAAGCCCTTCAAGCCCCAACAGCACAGCATCATGAGCTGATGAGCCGAGTGTTGTCCAATGTGAGCCGTCACGTTTCGCGAGGGTCCTGGGGCTGACGACGCTGTTGCATGCCTCAACTCCATCGCGAAGTTTCTCCTGACCTTTGGACTGGTGTAAAGTATAGCCCTTGAGAATGGGGGCTAGTGCAACACCCATGCAGATTTGGGATTGCGTCCGTGCTTGTGGGTTGCCAAAGCGGGTGTCAAGCATGTTTGACCGTCTTACAACTGTAGAAGGACTAGAGATGTCTTGTCAGCCGCAGCCCGAGGCTTGCACAAGTTGCTTTCGCATTGAACTCACGAACTTGATTGGTCTCAGGACCTATCAGAGTCACAAGATGGAGCTGGTCATCAACGGCCTCAAGGACATGTGGCCGACGTGGATGTTCGGCCGAGCAGAGCTTCAACGGTGTCAGGTGCATCCTCAACGGTGTCAGGTGCATCCTCTTCAGGTGAATCTGTTGCCCAACGGGCTATCCATGGTGCCTTCTACATGGTGCCTTCCCAGTCGGGTAGTTACTCTCCTCTTCAGTCCAGACTTCAGGATGTCAAGGGCCCAGAGAAGACTTGGATGGATCGCCCCTTGATTGCTGTTCGGGAAAGTGCCATGGGCGAGGAGCAGGCATAAGAAGCTACAGAAACACAATGAAACACATCAACCCCTTCAGATTATTCCAGACTTCACGCTATATACTCACTGAAAATCACACCGCAATATACCGCAATTTCGGGCGGCGGTTTTTGTGCTTTGCGGTTGACGTTCTCATGCAAGTTGCTGGATTCCGCATTTGACAGCACGTGCATGGCTATGATTGAGGCCCGCACATCCGCTTCATTGGCGAGACTGGACTTGAGGATCCGAAGTGGTGCCCCAGAAGTGAAACACAACATGCAGAGCTGTGAACATCATAATCATAATATCATTGGTGATGTGATGTGCGCCCGCCTGGCTTGCGATTGAGAGAGGTCGAGAAGTGCGAAGTATCCGCAAACTCGATTCCTACATTCATGTGAGGGACTTTTGAACTTTTGCTTTTGAGTGAGGCACGCTCCAGTCTAAAACCACGACGCAGATTCCTTCGCGTTGCGTACGACCTAGGGATGCAAAACGGTTTTGGACCATTGGAGCTCGGGGTTTGGACGGGTGGCTCCAACTCCTTTGCTCTTCTGGATGCAAGGTACAACCACAAGCAGAATGATGCCCTGGGCTATTTCATGTGGGTTAGGATCCTCAGCTGTTCCAAGCATGGTCGACTTGTTTCGACCCACTGGGTGCAGGGTTGGCGCACTGAGGCACGCACGCAACTGGCCTGGCATAAGAAGTTGCCCTTCAACGGGGAGCACCTGAAGCTTATGGGTCAGGCCGGGCCAAGCTTCTTTGCCTTCGCACGTGGCAGCGCTTTGTAGGAACCAAGAACTGGTTGATCACGCTGAAGAGTTCAGGGTAATTCGATGTAATTCGTGGGTGTTTGATCGGCATGGGACGTTGATGGAAGTCGGATACGTAGACATAGAGGTTCGACTCTCCAACTTTGACACTTGTTGGAAATTCACCCAGGATGTGCAAGGGCTTCATCTCTCTCTCTCTCCCCCTAAAAACATGTCTATTAAAGCCAATGTTTTGCACGGTGATTTCATGAGAGTTCATGGGCATTTGTCCATGCCGTGAGACACGCGGTTTGCCGCACTTCGCCTCATGAGACTGGCTCAAGTGTGGAGGATGAGCATGTGGATGCTTTCAGTTTTCTTCTCATGCGCTGGAGAGTTGGGGTGATCTTCTTCTGTTTGGCCGGCTTCTTTGTGTGGCTGAACATCACTGCACTTTACCAGGAGAAGCTCCACGTGACAGATGAGAGCAGGAAAGTTCCTGAACGAATACTGGTCAATGGAATCACTCCTGTCAAGAGCAATGCAACTTTAGCTCATCCAAAGGCCTGGCATGCTTGGCAAAATCCAGTGGTTCGATATTTTCAATGAAAGGTTGAAGAGGCAGCTGCAAGAAATGCAGAAGTTGTTTTCTCACAATGGTGCTAGGGCTGCTAGGGTTCCTGGGCTCGTGGTTGTTCAGGCCGTTGGAATCACCCCGGTCAAGAGCAATGCAACTCTGGCTCCTTGGAAGGCCTGGCATGCTTAACAAAATCCCAATTGTTGTACTGCAATTGAAATGTCCAGGAGGCTGCCGTAGGAGAAAAAACACAACATGGAGTTGCTTTCTGTGACCTGCGGCCCAGGCTGAAATGATTGAAAGGATGAGAGCTGCAAGATCCACCACACTTTTATCTTGCAGAAGAGACCCAGCTGCCGCTTTTTACATTTCGCCGGACTTCACGTGCCAAAATCCGGCAAAGGTCGACCACTTTGGCAAAGCACCGTGGACTGCCAACTTGGTCAACAACCCGGCCGAGCCCGCATGCTGGGACCAAAGCAACTTGTGTGCGCCCTTCTCGTGTTTCCCTGGTTGCACCTTGCTACACTGGAGTTGATTTCTGGGCGTGCTTGAGTCCCCCGCAAATAGTGTACATCAAATCCCAACGTTCTCCCTTCTTCCGTATTTTGTTTGCTTGCTAGAATTGGGACCAGATCTAGCCGCGAATTTAGCCTTGCACGGTGCCCTTGGTCTATTCCATATCTTTTTTTTGGTTTGGCCACCTGCCTCAGCCAAGGCATGAACAAGGATTTCAGTTTTATACGCCAGTATTGGGAGCCTGTCAAGGCCGGCTCCACCAAAGTCATGGTCTTCCAGTACGGAAAGGTCGCATCCACGGCAGTCGTCAAGGGCCTAAAGGTGTACTCCAAACTCGCACCGGCCCATGCACACACTGCAGAGCAAGCCAAGGGTTGGCTATCTGGACAGGCCACAGGCATTCCCTGGGAGCAACAAGGCTTTGCTCTCTCACAGGATCGGGTGCAAAAACACACTGGCGGCATGATGTCCAGCACCATAAACGGGTTTGGTTTCCACATAGGCTCGAGATAGTTCGGCATTATGCTAGCAAGCACCTTACATCATGCTAGTCAGCTAGTCCACAACTGTTTTTTTCTTGAGATCCTGAACCGGCTGCAGATGGTTCCGGCAACCAAGGAACTCCATGACGGGTTGGTTTGTGCCGATGTCTCGCAGGAGTGGTCTTTGTATCCCAAGGATCGGTGTTTCATCCTGACCGCGTCGCGGAGCCACTTCAGCCGTGATCCCTCCGAGTATTTTGAGAACGTTTTGACCCCAGCTCATCCGTACGGCTTTCATCCGCGCGGGGCGACACGGTTTCAGGACACGGAGCCTGGACCAAACAGTGCAAGATGGACACAGGCAAAAGTGATATCGCTTGGGCGCGAGAATGCCTCCATTCTGGTGGAGGATTTTCGGGCGCAACATGGAATGGTTTTGGAGTACTATTCCAAATGGTTTACCCAAACTTTCAAAGAGACCACCGGCATTGACGTCCTTTCAGTTCCGTTTGATTTTGAAAAGAAACGTGTGGTCGTCCAGGGTGCCAGGTGCACTGCAATTGCCTTGCGATACGAAGACACAGACATGTGGGAAGGCATTTTGCAAGAGTTCTTTCCTGACTTCCGCATGACCAGTTCCAACAAAGGCGGAGCGAAATGGTATTCTGAGGCTTATGGAAACTTCAAAAAGCTGCTGACCTACAGCGATGATGAGTTGACTGCCATTTGTGCCACTGAAACGGAACGACACTTTTATCAGCAAGAATCTAAATCCAAGTGCTCCAAATAGATGATCTTTATCATGTCCATGATTCACCCGTCCGCTTATGAACGCACACATGAGATGGTCGAGTTGAGTGAAGCTGCTCTCGAATGCTCTCGCCGGCTTCTGTGGAGAGACTGTCGGTTGGAAGTCCAGCTCCCAATTTGGAGGTCGCCACAGTCGGAGGTCCTTGATTGATGTTGGTCGCATGCGAGCAAAAGCTGTGAGTGTGACGCGGATGCAGGCAAGAAGTGTTGTGACCGGGCTATTACCAGTGAAAATGCCTCACTTAGATTCGTTCAAAGTTTGCCTTGCCTGCTAATGTATGCATGTGACAATCGGCAGTTGTACCTCTTGCACAATGTGGATTGATGTGACTCATCGTAGGACGAAATGCATTGACATCATAGTCATAGTTTTTGGCCACATCAGGCATCGGGCATGGAACTGTTCCCACATGTTCCCACCACCCTTTTTGAAAGAGCTTCTGTTTTCACCCCTCCATCAGCCAAGCTTGCCGCTGTTTTGCACACCTTAGCGCTGCGATGCAGGGGGCATGAGGTTTTGCAGAAAAACAGAAAAACTACCACTTGACATCGCGATGTTCATTTTCAATTTGGCCATTCAGGCATTGCAAAGAGGTCTTGTTGGACTGGCAGGGCCCCTTGTCACCCATGATTACCTGCCCTGACAGACAGTTTCATTCATTGTGTTCATTGTTCTGTCCATGCCTGGCCCACCCACAGTGGCGCACGACTCGACTCTCAGTGCTGCAGAGAGAGAGAGAGAGAGAGCGAGCTTCACCCCGCCACAGCTCTTCGACTACTTGCGCGCGATTGAGTCTTGGGCAGACTTGGATGGAGGCCAGACATATTGATCCTGTTTCTCTGCTCTAATTCAATTGTTGGCTTTTGCAGTTCGAGTCCGGCCATACTTTTGTGTGCAGCTGACCTCTTTGAAGTAATGATTAAAGAGGCCTCGAATCTGACACCTTCCTTGTGTCCATTGTCTTTGGCATCGAAACAAAATACTACTATCAACTACTATTTGTAAGGTAAAATGATAATATGTACATAAATATGTTATAACATATATTTTTTATAGGTTGAGAAAATTGTCTATGGGCCATCTCTCTCTCTCTATATATATCTACCATGCATTTGCGCTGTGGAACATCCACAGCCTGAGCACCCAAAAGACGCCAAGCGGAGGTCATTGGGAGGAGCATTCTGCCATCCATGCATCTTCCATTGGGCCTTGACCTCAATGAACACACCAGATACACCAGGGCCTTGGACCGAGATCCCAACGAATGGGTGAAGCAGGGCCGAGCCATGGGCATTTCCGGCCGCACCGTCTGCGCCTGCAGCAAGGCCACCTTTAGCAGCGGTGAAGCTTTTCACGAAGGCACCGCTTTTGAGAGATGTTTGGCGGCGTGAAAGGGATCATTGACCAAAGCAACCGAAAACCGTGACAGGATACCCCGGCAGAGCGATTACCACAAGTCCAAAAGGGGCAAGAAACATCATTCTGGATTTTGTTGCGGGGGCTTGTGGTTGTTTTTGAGTTTCATAAGCACCTTGATTCATATAAGTACAAGTTTTGCTTTATGATTGCCCAGCATGCTCACACATGCTGCCAGTGGTGGCAAATCACCCAGGCTTGTGCATAGTATTTAATGTGCTGATATCCGGGGTTTCATTTCATTGACACGAGAAAACTGTTTTCAATGCATACAAGCTATATACAAGCTCTACTCTTCCTTTTTGATTGTTGCTCGACACCCTTTGGTTCCATCCCCTCCAATTATGATGCTTGTTTGCCCCCTTATCGGCATGTGTTCTCCGCTTTGACAGGTGGCTGCCAGGGACGGCTTCTTGCCCCCCTGCAAATCCGACACCTTGGAGGTCCTTGAAAAGAATCTGCAGGCTGGCTGAGATGTCACAGTTTGGCAGCTTTGAAGCACGTGGCTGAGCGAAACACAGTCTGACATCACGTGACAGAAATGTGAAGCATGTTTGGACCCTTCTCTCCAGACATACTTTGACCATACTTCATGCCACACATACGGAAAGCACATCGGATGCGACGTGCTTTCCGCATCTTTCCGCTTTGAAAATCGGATGTCGGATGCGGAGAACAGCGCCTGGCTGCAGGCGGCCTTGTTGAAGATCCTTCCGGGGGCCGACTGGCCGCACCAGAGAGGGCACCGCTGGGCAACGCGCTTCCTTACATCATTTTGTAATTGTACACTTGCTGCACATGAGTCTTCCCTGTAGAGGTCTAGATTAGATACAATATTTGATACAACAATTCTCCAGCACATCTCCATCATGGGAATTTGATGTAATTTGTTTTTCTATCCTTGTGGGGTCGGTGCTGCAGTTCTCCTCTGATGCTTGGACCCTACAATCGCGAAGCTGAGGGAGAGGGCCGGACAAGTGGCTAGAATCAAATGCCCGCAAGAAGCTTTGCCCAACTACTAAAACCTTGGGATGTTTCCACGTGATTGATAGGTTATATAGGAATAATTGCTTATACAATCTTATACACTTATACACTTCGTAAATTTCTAGCTGATTATTCAGTCGTGAGCACTAGTGAGAGCGGATGTGATTGTTAGAAAGCGTGAAAAGGTCCAGGAGCGTGGACCACTCCCATGTCTTCACTTCATGCCTCCACGCAAAAGGTTCCACAATGGTAGTCCACGGTGTTCCGTGTAGGACGCCGAGGTATCCTTTCTAAACACGTGGACGCGGCGTCCGCTATAATGTTTAAATCTCCCCTGGGGTATCGACGGTTTCGGACGCCGCTCGGATCGACGGATCGGATCCGTCGAGGAGATTACTTTTCCTGCTGAGCTGGCCAGAGATGCGGATGCAGCGGCGGTCTTCTTGGCATATCCCTTGGAGGTCAGAGAATGGAGAGGATGGAGAGGGGAAGGGAGAGAAATGGTGATGAACATCAGAAAAAAGATGAAACGAGTAATTAGGATGCTGGAATTAGGGCCAAGGAATGCCAAGGACCCATCATCAGTTCTAGCTAGTGGGTTTGTGGGTCTCATGAATTTGTTTCTTTTAGACCTAATGATGTGATATGAATTGATATGATATCCCATGCCTGTTGGGATCGATCCTCAGCCTTCGGGTTGGTGAGTCCTAGCTGGGGATCGATCCTCCTTCCTTTGTGGTCAGTCATATAGTACCTTGGTGATCCGGAGAGTTCCAGCAAGTGTTGGTCGACATAGCCACGACACAGATCGACGAAGCGATAGTCACGCTGTGCTTCCTTTCGTGCGGAACACACCGGTGGTTCGATGTGTAGGGCCCCTACAATCCTGCAAGTCACTCATCCGAATTTGGCCAAGACCGGCCAGGTAGGAGCAAGGACGCTACTAGTGGCTCCTGGCCTTACTACTAGGAGCAAGAAGCTACTAGGGGCTCCTGGCCTTACTACTAGGAGCAAAGGGCATCGCTACTAGGAGCAAGGACGCTATCCAGGTCCATCCGCTGTGTCACATCCGCTCCATGGACGGCCGAGAGGTCGTAGACGACCAACTGGGACTTCAGATCATGGAGCGCCTCACAAAGGCAGATGACGTGGGAGGGCGGGGAGGGCCGGGCGGCGGGGGGTTGACCAAACGAGAAAGAAAGGGCTCTTTTTGAGCCTTCCACAACAATGGCGTTGGAACCAGTTGTGTCACATGTTTTATAATGTGTCCAATTGCGTCACGTTGGATGTTTGAGGATGATTTAGGTCATTGACTTTGAGGAGTGGCATCCATGAGACACCGTTTTTCTGCCAGGTCATGGGCCATATTGGCATGTGCCGTTACAGAAAGGACCGGTTTCATGCAAATTATTGCACCAACAAATGCCACCAACATCATGCCTTTGGTGATTGAGTTGAACCAGTCACAGCTCGCAGGATAGCTATTGGTGCAAGGACAGGCTGATAGACGTGTTGACTTGTTGGGAGCTAAAGCTTGCTGAGCCTTGCAAGCTAAGCTTTTGAAAGGTTGCACTTACCCAAGCTCCCTAATTATATAGTTTGCATATGTTTGCATATGTTTGCATGTCATTGACTCACCGCATCTGAGGCTGCTTTAGCCATTCTCATTTGTGTTTTAGCAGCTAGAGCTCCTTTGGCAACTGGCCTTGAGGAAGAGCACAGAGGTGCACATGAATGACTTTCCAAGCAAGCTGGCAGTTGACATGTTGTGCTGGAAGCCAGGACTACAAAGACAAGGTTGGAGATGATCCGACCAAACACTTCACAGATGAAGAACTGAAGGAACGGGACAGGCACGTGGAGCTGTTTGGTATTGGGATGTTGTGGGCATTGGTTTTTATATGGTTCTATACATTTGTTGCTTCTTTTCGACACGCCTTAGTAGGCATGTCAATGTGGTTCTAGCGGCCCAAAGAAGCACCGGCTGATATCACCTCCAGCCGTACCATGCAACGGCCGTACTGTGATGCAGCTGCTGTGGGCAGTGTCCTGGATACCTCCAGTACTGGGTGTCGAATGTGTTCAAGATAAAGAGACATGGGATTATGTGCGTTATCTCGATGAAGTCTCCGCTGTTAGTCCCTTGCCGCGTGAGGGGCGGGAGCTGCTTTATGAGCTTTTCAAAACCTATGGCTCCCAGCAAGTAAACTGTGCCACTGGCATGGCCGTTGTGATGCTCCACTCTTTGAGCTACATTGATCGTGACTATGGTGAAGTCAAGGCTTTAGAGGTCTACCAAGCTGCAGCCAAGTTGGCGAATCAAAGCGCCACCGACCACACTGAAGGCCAGTGGATAGTGAATCTTTCCTGGCATGAGGCGGCTCCCAAACTCTTGGGTTTGGATCCCCCTGCAGACGCGGAGATTTGCTCACAGCCAGGCCATCCTCAATTCTTTGTTTATGCGACGGAGGAGTTTTATCGGAGACCCTTGTTGTTATGCGCTACAGGTATGGAGGGCTCCGAGGTCCTTTTGCACCGCTGGCTTTTGCGCAGCAAGTGCCGAAGCAGCTTTGAAACGGCCAACTTTTTCTACGTGCCTTTTTATTCCTTTTGCTTTCAGAATTTGCACATTGAACCGGGCAGTGAGACTGAAGAGCTTGACAAGCACAACATTAGGCTCGTTCAGTCCCTTGAGCACTTTGACGTATACCGTCGGAGGCAGCACATCTTCCATTTTGCCCACGAGTTCTGGGACTTCCCATCTTGGGAGGCACATGTAGCCAGGTCGAAAATTCTTGCAGTTGAAGCAAACCCGCTCATCGATGTAATCCAATACCGGCATTGCACCACTTGCTTCGATTATTGGAAGGATGTGGTTGTCCCAGGGCACACTGATGTTTGGGCTATGCGGCGTTTGCGGGAACAGAGTCAACCTGTTGAAGACCGACGGTATTTATTCTGCTTCCATGGTGCTCTTCGTCACGAACTCTACGAAAAGACCCATGCGGAAGGTTACAACACCAGTGCCGCAGAGACACGCCGACAGATCCAAGCACTCGCTGGTGAGTCTGATGCAAGCATCGGCCCACACATCACACCATTGCTGGACTACTACAAGCGGGTTGGAGATTGCCGCTTCTGCTTGGTTCCCAAAGGTGTAGGGTTCACCAATGGGCGTCTCTATGAGGCATTCTTTGCGGGCTGCATCCCAGTGATTCTTTCGGATGCTATGGCGCTTCCATTTTCCTTTCTGCCTTGGTCAAAGTTTAGCTTGAAACTCCCCATGGGCGATGTGCCTGGAGCGGTGGCGCGCTTGCGATCGATGCCAATGTCGCAGCAAAGAGCCATGCAAGACCAATTGCTACGGCATGCCTGCTGGTTTGACTACTACTCCAGCAACCCTGCTTGCTCTCCGTATCAGGGCCTTCTTCGAGTTCTCCAGATGCAAAGCCGAGCACATGCGGGCCGTATGGGTCTGTGAACATATTGCAACCTCGAGCAGACCCACCTGCGAGGATGCGCTTTCGGACGTGCACGTCGCCTCTTCGGACGTGGTCGGTCGGTGACGTGGCCACGTGGGCCTGGATCTCCACAGCGACATGGTGCAGCGAAAAATGGTTGATTATGTTTGAATTGACTGATTCCTTTTCAGTCATTGTTCTTAATTAATTGTTCTTATGACAAGGAAGATGTGCAGTAATGAAGTACAATGCATGTGCCATGAAGAGGAGCAAACGTGCCCTAGCCTCAAAATCGTGAATCAATTGGTTTGCCTGAGCATCAATGCCCAAATGGAAAGTGCTTGACCGCTGCCAGCACTGCTAGGCTCCTTCAAGAGGGAGAAGAAGCGCAGTGGTGTCTTTTTGATCCGCCTCCTGACCCCAAACCGTTTGGACTTGTACACACTTCTTGTTTTTGTTTGCTCCCTTGTTCTGCAACAGTCCTCACACAGCCTGAGATGATGAGCTTGAGTCTGGAGTATGGAAGTTTGATGAAGTTTGTTTCCTTTTGAGCCAACCAAAATAGTTGATCATTGTTGCCCAGGTAAGCAAGTCATACCAGAACAGTGTGGCTAGTCAAGATGCACATGGCCATTTTATGGCAATTTTCTGTTATACTAAGTTATACTATGTTTTACTATTTTACAAACTCACATATTTGCATGTATTATTTGCCAGCATTGTATTCGACATCCATAAATACTTGTTACTTGTTACCGTGCTTTGGAGGTACTGTTTGCATCAGACGCTCCCACAGCTGAGGATGGTTAGCGCCTTCTATGGCCGCATGTACCAGAAGACCCAGGACGAAAAACCAGGCAGCATCAGGCTAATACCAGAGAATTGAATTATTTCAAAAAACGTCAAGAGTGGTGTTCACAAGCACCATACAGCACACTCTGACATTGGTTTTCAGTTATGCAATTCCCAGGTGGAAGGAAGGTGAGAGAACCGCAAGGTGAAAAGGTCAGCGCAACTGAATTGTTTAACAATCTGTTCACTCATCTGCAGAAACGCGGCTGAACGACGGCGGCTGAAGGCAGTGGTGGGAAACCTGTTTGTGGGGAAAGTATCGTGAGCAACAACCATGGCACCAAAACACAGGAAGGAAAAGTGGAGTAGTGTCACAGCGCAGGTACACACAGTTGATCAGATTGTGCATCCACCGAACAAGCATAGCTTTGTTAGCCAGCGTTTGCTTGTCGGCCGCTGGCCCCCTACTTGAGAACATATATCCAAAAACGGAAGGGGAGGACCCTTAGAAACAGGGCTTGACACACACACGCACACATGGCCGTTTTCGGCGCATATGTGTTTAGGTTCCCACGATGGCTCTGATTTTCCGCAGAAAACGCTGGCACTCTGTGGCGTTGTGTCCCTTTAGGGCATAGAGTCGAAGTGAGATGGAGAATACGGCATGCAGTTGAACAAGCTCGTGAAGAAGGTGGTGAGGTAGAACATGTCCGATCGCAAAAAAGCCGATTGTGGTGGAACATGGGACACTGTAGATGCTTGAAAGTCAAAGCGAGCTGCAAAAAACACACAAAGTCGTGCAATCAAATGCGTTTGTCCGTACAAGCCCGGCGGCTGTTGAAGCAGTCAATCCAGTAGTGAAAAGTGGTCAGTTAAGAGAATCCAAGGAGTGGTGGAAAGGGAAAATCCGTTACACGATTTCCAGCATGAATTCAGCGCCCCAGTGACGGGGATCACACCCAGCACCCAAGTGGGACGACTAAGCGGTTCACACTCTGACATTGGTTTTCAGTTATGCAATTCCCAGGTGGAAGGAAGGTGAGAGAACCGCAAGGTGAAAAGGTCAGCGCAACTGAATTGTTTAACGATCTGTTCACTCATCTGCAGAAACGCGGCTGAACGACGGCGGCTGAAGGCAGTGGTGGGAAACCTGTTTGTGGGGAAAGTATCGTGAGCAACAAACATGGCACCAAAGCACAGGAAGGAAAAGTGGAGTAGTGTCACAGCGCAGGTACACACAGTTGATCAGACTGTGCATCCACCGAACAAGCATAGCTTTGTTAGCCAGCGTTTGCTTGTCGGCTGCTGGCCCCTGCTTGAGAACATATATCCAAAAACGGAAGGGGAGGGCCCTCAGAAGCAGGGCTTGACACACACACACAGGTATTAAGGTATTATATGGTATTATAGTACTGTTGCTTGAATGAATTTTTGGATCCTTCAACGAAGAGATTGGCGTTTGGGTCATGGTTTGTTTCAATCAAAAGATTCCAGTACAATGTCCCATGCGTTCCTTGAATCTGCGGGATGAGAGTGGAGCCGGGTGCTCCAGCAGGATGCGCAGTATTTGAAGCTCCAGCAGCTTTTTCTGGCCAGGCAGGGGTAATTAAGAATAAAGGATTTGATCCACTTTGATTCCAGCTGAGAGGTGTGTGAGCATTTTGGCTCAGAGACAGAATGGCATCGATTGCATTGAGTGTCAAGTATTTGTTGGAAGAGTTTCGCACTGTTTTAGGGTGTCAGAAGGCCGCGGTGATAATTCGCACACATTCCGCCCCACCCATTTTGAGCATCATCCCGTTTCACTTGGGCAGCGCCATTTGCTTTGTGATTGAGGTCTTTGGCGGCCATTACAGGAGATGACTGCCCCTATGGTCCATGGCACTGTGCAGAGGAGCGGGGCCGCTCCAAATCTCAAGACCCACTTCTGGAAGAGTCATTGCTGTGTTGTTTTCCTTGTAGACCCTTAGGCTCAGACGTTTTCTGTTCGCTTTTTGCCTTCCTTCCTTCCCTCCGATTCCCTCCTGCTTTCCGACCGATGAATAATGTGGTCGGGGGTTCCGCGCTTGTAATGATTGTAATTTGTTTTTGTCGGGTATTTGGTCAGGGACGATCCAATGACTTTTCTGAAAACCATGGGGCTAGTTGACAAGTTGACATACAGGCTTGGGGTTTCTTTTGTTTTTCTTTGGTGGTGTTGGGAAGGCAATTCTTCAGGTAGCTGGAGCTTCAACCCTTTGGTTCCTTGAATTGTTTGCTGGCAAGCCCCGCACTTGCCTTGGTTGGGCGGAGGCGTATTACTTGGAGAAGGACCGATGGGTGCCAAATGATGACACACCGTTGGTTTGGACACAGATGCCTGGCTGTCGAACGGGGAGCTGAACGGCAGACGTGGATGGCATTTGGTGTCGGCATGTGGTCGAAACAATTGCTTATTAGCTTATAGCTTGGCTTTGGGACAGCAGAGTGCGTGGACCTTCTGTCATGTGCGGGGGATGAAGTGCTTGTCGACCGACATATGGCTATAGAGTGGGCGACAATGTTCACGCACTCCAGGATACGCATCCGCATGCTTCCTGCTTCAAACGCCAATTTGTTGAGTGCCAAGTGACGTGCTCACCCAGCAAGAAGTCATAACAAAGGCAATTATATATATAGTACTGTACAAATTTGCAGGGCTGTGCACAAGCCCGCACCGGCCCCGAGTGGCCCTAACAACATGCAGCAAGCGGTTGATTTCGGCCGAAAGGTTTGGCCAAGAGGCCCGCGCAATCACAAAGTCCTGTACCCCTGGTGGGTCCCCCAACCCAAACCTCGAGAACCAAGGCTTTTCTTTAGGAGCTCCTTTTGTCTGAGGATCGACCTCAAGATGGCCTTGTTTGAGATGGAGAGGAGTTTGAACGTGCTCAACTGATGAAAGCCACCAAGCGCTTTGGTGGCTTGAGCCAATCTTTCTGACAGTATGATGGACATGTACGGACATCCAGCTTTCATGGCAATGAATGAATGTAACCTCTTCGGCACCAAAGCAATCGCAGAGCGAGTGATGACGGAACTCATATTTTTCTAGGAATTTTTTTCGTTTTTTTTTTTGATGTTTTTTCACGTTTAGGCATTAGGTATCTCTGTTGGCTTCTGGTGGCTTCTGGTAGCTTTTGCTAGCTTCTGTTGGCTTTTGCTGGCTTCCGGTGGCTTTTACTGGCTTTTGGTGGCTTTTGTTGGCTTCTGTTGGATTTTGGTGGCTTCTGGTGGCTTCTGGTGGCTTTTGGTGGCTTTTGGTGGCTTCTGGTGGCTATTTTGTTGGCTTCTGGTGGCTATTTTGTTGGCTTCTGGTGGCTTTTGGTGGCTTCTGGTAGCTTTTGCTAGCTTCTGTTGGCTTTTGCTGGCTTTTGTTGGCTTCTGGTGGCTTCTGGTAGCTTTTGCTAGCTTCTGGCGGCTTTTGCTGGCTTCTGGTGGCTTTTACTCGCTTTTGGTGGCTTTTGTTGGCTTCTGTGGGATTTTGGTGGCTTCTGGTGGCTTTTGTTGGCTTCTGATGGCTTTTAGTGGCTTCTGGTAGCTGTTGCTCGCTTCTGTTGGTTTTTGCTGGCTTCTGTTGGCTTTTGGTGACTTGTGTTGACTTTCGAAGGCTTCTGTTGGCTTTTGTTGCTTTTTGCTTTTGTTGGCTTCTGGTGGACCAGAAAAAAATTCCAAAAAAAAAACGGAAACAAATTCCTAAAAAAAAACGCGGCCGAGTGATGACTGTAAAGGTCATCAAGAAAACAAGAAGCTCTTGTGATTTCATCCAATGAGACTTCTTTATAGTTTCAGCGAGCAGTGATTTGATCATAAACGCTTGGCCGTTGTCCCTTAAGGTCTATTGGAATGCATGTTGCTTTGTTGATCAACGGTTTTCCCAGTTATGAGGTTGTGAAACACCAAGACTGTTTGGAGCTACATGTGCAGACCCCTTCCGGAGTCTAATTGTCGGTCCAAGCGCTAGCCGCTCCAGCCGTTGCAGACCCTAAATGGGATGATCTCCAGCTTGAGACGTCAATCGCTTTTTGCAGCGGCCTGCAACTTCCGCTCTTTTGGTCACCGACACGCAGCCAGCTCATGGGCTACTGCGTTGAAGGTGATGGCCAATGAAAAGGTGGAAGCAGGCACTGCCCATTATGTTTGCCCTTGTCAGGGAGATTGCTTACGCGCAGCTGAAAAAGCTTTACACCATGCACCTCACTGCAGTGGAGTGAACCTGTTAGACAAAAGGTCGCTAGTTGCAACAGCTAGTGTTTTTGTCAACACTTTGAGGGGAGTGCATCAAAGAAACTGCACGGATAATGCCTTGGAGCCCTCTCAATTCTTAATCATGAGTTGAACGCGCGTACGTGGCAGGGACAAGTACAGCTTTCCATTTGATATCTCTTGGATATCTTATCTCTCTAAGTCAAAACGGATGGCAACATCATAGTATGCAGAGGGCACAGCATGGGACACTACGCAAAACAATCAACATACCTGGAATGTGCAGGTTGGCAGTCTTTGAGGCAACTTTGTTTCGTCATACTTCGTTCATATTACTCATATGCCCCATTTCCACACAAATAATTGCAGGATGGAACAGGCATATACAATGATAATAATGCTTTTGCATCCAGGCCCTTTTCTTCCAATGACCTTTGATTGAAGCTCAGCTCTGAACCCAGGTCCTCGAGAGCACTGACCGGACGGGATTGAGTGGCTCAGCTGAAGTTCCGAAGATGTTCCAACTGAACCAGATTAGAGTGAGGGCAGGGTGGGTTTCCTGATGTAGTTTAGATGAGGATTGATACTAGACATGCAGTTGGCCCCCAATGCAACATGCTCCTCCAGCATAGTGATGTTACTTTTGCTGCATCATCCTGTATCCATTAGGTCAGGAAGAGTCAGAGGAGTCCCGGCCTAAGTTCTGCTAACTGCTAACAATTCAATTCCATCAAAGCACAGCTTTTGACCTTTAAACTTTGACCAGACTGCGGATGACTTCGCCACCACATAGAACCACCAGATGAGAACTGATATACTTGCGATTGAGAACCTGGCTGCATGGACATCGCCCAGTTTGGATGGTTGTAGATGCTTGTTTGCCCGGACAGCTTGTTTTGAAGTTGCTGCCAATGCTGCCCCGTTACAAAGTGCCGGTTTCAGGTTACTGGGTGCAGGTTTAGAATCTCTCAATGTCAGGGAATGTTGTTGCGATGCACGGTGACACCTGTTTCGCCTGTCTCGCGAAAGATTCCGGCTCAATGCAGTAGATGTAGCGGCGGCTCCCTGCCCGTGAGTTGGGCAGGCTGCGGCTTTCTTTTTTTTCTAAATGAATCGGTGGACGAAGCTAATGTAGCAGCTGGTGCTTTGTGCCTCAAGTAGCATCAAGACAGCAGGCAAAAGTAGGTCAGTGCATTCAGTTGGCATGTGCTAGGGGAGAGGACATTTAGTCTTTCTGATTCCGGGCTCTAAATACCATGAGTGCTCTCTCAAACTGCAGTGACATGGTACTCAGGAGGTTCTTTCAAGAAGAGGATGCAAAAGGGCTTTGGACAGACACGCAATTGCGTGGTGGTTGGCTTGAGCTTTGTCAGAGTGGTTGGCCAAGGAGGCTTTGACAGACCCCACACATACTTCCACAGAGCTGAAGCTGCCCGAGCATGCTTGATCATAGCCGTTCTTTGTGTGAACCTGTTGAACACAGACCTTTGAGGCCGGCCGGCTACCTTCAGGGTGCACTTGCCTCCGTTGGGGTTTGGACCCAAGATGTTTCTCTCAGGATGACCCAATTCATGCCCGTGCATATGGACCCGTGGTGCTGCTTCATACTTCGAAGGTGTCCACACAAGGCACAGGTTCGTGACAGCCATGATCATGGTTAAAACCTTTTCCGTTTGGAAAGCGAGGCAACACGGTAAGAATGACACATCGTTCAATCGTCAAACTGGTGCTGATGTGAAGGAGAAAAAACACACTTTGTCCACGAGATGCCTTCGATCCCGAAACAGCTTGAACACGTTTAATGTCCGTTGCTGTGCTCCTGACCATTTGGCCCCACGAGTCTCTTAGGCGGTCCGAGGACGAGAAAGCCGTGGGGCCAGTGAGTCCAAAGAGTTTCTCCAATGCCATGTGCTCAGCGTTGGCGCTGAAGTGCGTTGGTGGTGAAGTGCGGAGTTTCGGGGGTGGAGGCCCTGACTGACACACGCCAGAGACTATATGACATATAGTAGGGTTTTGTTTGGACACTGGGAAAGGTCACCTTCCGCCTCTCAGCAAAAACGCTATGTATATTATTCTTTGATCGAACGTTGAATTGAAATTTTTGAGCAATTCCCAGGTCATTGAAGCCATTGGCTTTGGGATTCCTCAGGCGCAAGGGGTGAAGGTCGCGCGCGCTTGGCGTACGTGTGAAGACATGTCTAGCCCCGATGCTTTGTACCCTGTGGGTGAGTGAAACGTACACGTGCTGTTTTGGGAATGGCTTGGCTGTGAATCAAAACCTCCACCAAAGCATGGTAGGTTGACATCCCTTATAATATACAGGAACCTGTTCGCCTTTTGCACACACGACATCACCCCATGGTGTTGACCGCCCGCATTCCACGGTCAAAAGAAAGGAAAGGAAAAAGATCACCAGCAATAGTAAAACCACATTGAAACCTGATGTGTTGAGTTTAGCCACATGGGTTTAACCAAATTGAAGGAACTCACAGCAAACTCATGTGGTTAATGCACAGACGCGTCGGCAGATGTGCTCAGAACCCTGCGTCAAGCTCAGAGTTCGAAAAGTAGGGAGTGTACGAAACCATGAGAGACAAGGCCCAGGCCTGTTCATTTCTCAGGGATCAACAAGGCCCGGGCTTTGACCCTGTGCCACTTAAGTCTCTTGACGTCCCATGTGATTTTGGCGCCAATATATGCCAATATGAAACCGTGAGAAGCGTAGGAATCCGCATGCTCTGAGCTTTGGCAGTTGATTGTCGCGGCTCTTTGCGGCTTCATTTGGGCAGCCGATGGGGCTGAACTCCTGCTCTTGGGATGCTGGGCTTCAAATCCGGCACTGTATGTGTTTTTCCCCCAAAGCCGATGTGTTTGAGAAGCAAGGCCTCTTGACGATGCACATTTGGGCAATTTTGGGCAAAAGCTTTGTTTTGCCAAAAAGCTTTGTTCAAGACAGGGGTAGTTGCCCTTTTTTTATGGCGCCAGGTGCTATAATATGCATAATATAGAGGAAGAGGTTTTGAAAATGGTTTTTCTGCTTGACTCGGATCCACAGATTCACACAGCCCACAGGAAGCATAGTGGCCATGGCCCTAAGAAGGGTCTTTGGTCGTCACGGTGCCCTGTAGTCACTTTCCGTTGACCCTTGAGCTCATTTTCCGTGGTTCCGATTTGGATGTAGCGGCTTTCTCCCAGATCTTCTAAGATGAGTATGATCCGACGAGTATTCCAGAGGGCTTCGGCATGTTTTGTGACTCTATGTGACTCTTCCTTCATCCAAGGATCTGTCACCCGATCCGCAGCTGGGCACAAATGGCATTTGCCACTAGACGGGTGCCAAGCATTAAATCGATCACGGTCCAATAAGACTGACAACAGGCCCTGCAGATGTTTCTCAATAGTATTCAATAGCACATTTGTCCTGCTGATGTTCCCTTCGAAGTGCAGGCCTTGCGGAGTGACACTGAGTGACACTCACAAGAGTGAGCTAAGGTCACCGATGAGCATCTTGATTTGCATTCGGGGTGGTTGCTCACCCGATGGAAGTGAAATTGGCGATGTATGACCGTCTTTCAACATCACCGGACGCGAGCGTCCTAGGTGGGCCTTGGAGGCATGGCAGCGAGGCGCGATTGTGTCGGTGGTCTTCATTGGCATCCTTCTAGGCCGGCTGAGCGAGCGTCGCTCACCAGATCGGGGCGTGTAAGATTTGCTTCGTGGGTCGGGATGAGATGAGCTTCGATTTGACATCTGACCAAGCGATCTCTATAGGAGAGTAATTTGATTTGCGGTTGAATCCGTGTCCTTCTTGCCAAATATGCTATGGTTGAGAAGTCTAACTTGCTTGAGAACAACCTGTTTCATTACTTCCCTGGTCCCTTTCGCCAGCATTTCCTAGCTCGCTCACACAATTTCTCAGGCAATACCATTGGCGGCCCGTGACTTGGTATCCACGACATGGCGGCAGCTAGACACGTGGGAACAGTTTGTTAATTGCAGGAGCGGTCAGTGATGCTTTGTCCGTTCTTACGCATTTTTTTCCGCAAAGTATCATCACACAGACACCGCGTCCTTGGCAGCCAGTCGATCTTACAAGGATCATGTTTTTGCATGTTTCTGCTGTTTCACCTGCTCGCTCGCGGGGAGAACTGTATATAAGCCTGTTAAACAGCCTTTCACTCGTACACTGGCTGAGGCTTGGCGACAGATTCTTGGCCGACACTGACTTTCTATTTTCTGCGCGTATTTTTAGCACAGGGCGAGAAAGAGTAAACTTGGCTGCCAAGCAGAGCCCCAGCCGTCACGAAAGGCCGTCGACAGTGAAGAACGTATCAAGCTCCGCCTTTTGATGAGGGACCCTCACTGGACAAGCGCAGATTGGTTCAAATCTCAGGTACTGGACGAAAGATCCCGGTACTTCTTTCTTTCCTTGGCATCGTGCTCTTCAGTGTCCTTTCGGCTTCCTGCACAGGAGGGCTCTTCAGTCAGGTTAGGCGGCATCCTGCTGCGTTAAGGTGACAGGTCGCAAACCTCACTGCACGACATGTTTTGGCACTATGCACCATCACCAGTTCCAACCACTTGCTGACATATCAATCAGTACAATTTGCATATATTGGGATGTACCCTCCTCTCTTTTCCCTGAATATTATCTATAAATATACACACGTAGTTTTTCGATATTTGTTTTTCTTATTTTTCTTCTCCGAGAATGTGCCTAGAAATTCGATTAAATCAATTAAATCTAAGTTGGAGCATGGACATTAATTGGCTTGCTCCAAGTGCGAGATGTTGCGGGAAGAACTTAATTCAGGGGGTTGGCCCTGGAGGAGGGGTAGATTGATTTGTTGAGCAAGCTTCAGGTTTGGGATGGTCTGGGAACATCACGGGGTCAGGCGGGATCCAATGAGACATGAATTTCCAAAGGCTTGCTAAAAGCCACATGAAGCTGACGGATAAACTGGCAAGACGCTGCGGGCATTTTGCGGGCTGTGGCTTTAGAAGCATTGGTGGGTGCCTCGCGATTAAGATCCTAAAAGCACTCAGGGAAATTACTCTCAATTATGCCCTTTATCTGATGGGGCTTCACCAGGGCGGCATCTAACGTAAGGGGACCATATATTATGAAGGCCTTGTTGTAATCACGAACATGTTCGAGTTCTCCAATTTTCCAGTTTTGGGATTTCTTGGACTCTAAGAATTCGGATCATTTTTCCATCATCGGACTGCAGGATGGACCAGTCCCGATGCCGTAGGGTCTGCCCATTGCCCCTCCAGGATTTTGGTCCCTCGCAGTGGTCCGGACCTTTGTGGGTGCCTCCTTTGGCCTCGGGCAGCCGGCGTCACTCGGAGAAGCCGTTGGTGTCCTTGGCGATTGAAAACTGAGATTCTGGGTGATGGTTGGCTGAGATCCTCCGTACTGCTTAGCATAGGCATAGCCCATTTGCATGTGTATACATTATACATACATATACTTCGTATTCTGCGGGGCTCAAAGCCGGTTCAGAGCTTGAAGTTGTTCATTTTCTCTGGATGTGTGTTGCTTTCGCTTGCCGTGTTGGCTGATTGGCTTCTTGTGAAGGTTTGCGGCCTTTCTTAGCAGTTCTGCTAAGGACGATGTCCCTGATGAAAGAACCTCAGCCTGAAAGACTATCGCGTGTGGACGGTTTCCATGTCCAGGTTTCCCTTTGAGGTTGCAGAAAGGCACAGCTTGTAGAGGTCCTGCAGTTTTTTTGGGCTCCTTGTGTTGAGCATTTCGTGTGCGCTTAAGGACATCACACCGTCAAGGCTGGAAGGGTTTGCTCGGTGGAGTCGAACCAGCGTCCATCAAGGACATCATGCTTCCCCAAGCGGCCAAAGAAAGAAAGACGCGTGGAATTTGTTGAATCGCTTGGACACATTGCTTCAGTGGGAGGCTTTTTCTTCTGTCTTTGGATAATTCATTTCAGGTTAGCTGACAAGGGTCCAGTCTTGACGGATTGTGTCCAGCACAAACAATTTATATACAGCAGAAGTGGCACAGCGAGGGTGATCCATCAGCATTCACACTCTGGGCCCAGAGCTTCGTGCAAGGTGGCAGCTCTTTATTTTTGCCCTTGTGATTGGCGTGCACCTTGCCATGCAAGTGCAGTGCAGAGGTGATGTTTCACAGTCGTAAGTGCGGCTTAAGTGCAACTTCTTGACTGCATGTGCTGGTTATACTAATGCTACTCACTTCTCCCCCGCCTGCCCCTGATTGGATATGACCGAGCATGAAGGCATAAAGTATAGTATAGGCATAGTCATAGTTATTCTGTTCAGTAATCTCGAATCATTCAAGGCAAAGTCTTGTAACATGCAATGGCTGGCTGAAACTCTCGGCAGAATGTCAGCAGTGCATCTCAATACTCTCATTTGATCGGGAAAGAACCAAAAAAAGATACCCATGTAAATGTGTTGGTTGTCGTCTTGGCCAGATACGATGAGGCCATTCCCTTGTGGTGAGATCTATAGCGCATCTCTCATTTGGCCACTTGGCAGCGACACTTTTGCATCCTGATTTCCTGATCATTTGGAGTCTCACCGCTTTGCGAAAAGCGGGGCCCCTAAGGCCCCGGAGCGCATTCATATGTTGACAGAGTCACGGGGCGCCATCGGTGGCACCCAGGTACAATGACCCCAGTATGAAGGAGCTGGACTGGCGTCTCCTGGCTGCCTCATTGCCACAAGCACGACTGAAAGAGCCTGCTGTTCGTTGCGGTAGCCTTCAAGTCCTATTGGCGGCATTTCATCATGTTCATCGCTGTTTGGATTGGACTGTGCAGCCAGGTTGGCTTTGCATCATGGGCGCAGTGCCATCCATCTTTGGCTTCGTGCTGTCGTACTCTTTCATGAAGGACGGCCTCCAGCTGGCCTGGGCCCGCTCACCGGCAACGTGGGTGAAGGCACACGTTTTTTGTTGCTTTGGGTGCCCTGATAAGATGGTGGCCCTGTGATATACTATGACCTTGGTGTTCTCGCAACACATAACACACACACACATTTCCATTGCGACCTTATCGTGGCCCGCTATTTCTCGATCAGCCGGCCGGCCGGCCGGCTGACCAACGACCGCGTCGGCTATTACTACTACCACCACCACCACCACCACTACGACTACGACTACTACTACTACCACTACTACCACTACTACTACTACTGCTACTACTGCTACTACTACTACTACTACCACTACTACTATTACTACTACTACTACTACTATTACTACTACTACTACTACCACTACTACTACTACTCCTACTACTACTACTACTATTACTACTACCACTACCACTACCACTACTACTACTACTACTACCACTACCACCACTACCACTACCACTACCACTACCACTACCACTACCACTACCACCCACTACCACTACCAACCACCACTACCACTGCCACTACCACTACCACTATCACTACCACTACCATGACGACGACGACGACTACTACTACTACTACCACTACCACCACCACCACCACGACGACGACGACTACTACTGCTACTACCATTACCACTACCACTACCACTACGACTACTACGACTACCACTACCACTACCACTACTACCACTTCATGGCCGACCGGCTGGCCGCTATGGCCCGCCGGCCAGCCGGCGGATCCAGCGGCCAGCCGGCGGGCCGGCCGATCCAGGGGCCAGCCGGCCGGCCGGCCGCGGAAGAAACCGCCACTAGTACTACTACTACTACTACGACTACTACTACTACTCCTGCTGCTGCTGCTGCTACCACTACCACTACCACTACCACTACGACGACGACGACGACTACTACTACTACTACCGCTGCTACTAGTACTACTACTACTACTACTACTCCTACTCCTGCTACTACTTGGCCGGCCGGCCGGCCGCTATGGCCCGCCGGCCGGCCGATCCAGCGGCCCGCCGGCCGGCCGGCCGATCCAGCGGCCAGCCGGCCGGCCGGCCGCGGAAGAAACCGCCACTACTACTACTACTACCACTACTACATGGCCGGCCGGCCGCTATTTGGCCAGCCGGCCGGCCGGCTGCCGGCGAAATAGCAGGCCGGGTTGCCCGCGCTGTCCACATGTCACAAGTTGTTGATATGTTTACTTTTTAAGGCTTCATTGTTTCAGTGATCAGACTTCTCCATTCATCCCCATTGAAACACCACTGGCGTGATACAAACGAACTTGCTGCGCAGGAGTGTTTGTGTCCCAAACCTTCAATCAGAGACCCAAAGGGGAGATGGAATCCTGCACTTTTCTGCCCCGTGAGAGAGACAGAGTGAGAGAGAGAGAGGGAAGCACTGTCCAGATTGACCATAAAGAAATTTGTTTTGGATGAGTTGCTTCTGGGTCGAAGGTGGCCCAACAGCTGAGTGCACTAATGCTAATACCTAAGCCCTCGGAAGTGGCTTAGATACTGTAATCCAAATGTCACTGAGGATGAGTGTAGCTGATCTTGGTTTGGGCAGGAGTCCCCAGCGTACCTGCTTGAAAATGGTTATGTCGATGAGGCAAAGGAACTGCTGGAATCCTACAAGCACCTTGGATTCAGTCAACCCTTGTACCCGTGCACGCCGCAGCAGGGACGTCACAACCAAGTGCAGTGGGGCGGATTAGTGATAGAAACAGACAGGGCATTGCTTTACAGCAACATTTTAACCGTTGTTTCTTTCTGGGATGAGCGGTGTTCAGAATCCCTCGAAACGGCCACGGTCGTAGCACCCACGGGACCCACAATTCAGGCGATGGAACGGTGCCGAACACGTGTGCTGCGACCTGGTGACCACTTCCGCGCATGGGAGGCCTGAGAGGGGCCGAGGGGCCACGGGGCCACATCGGCGGACTAATTTGGTTGGTGTTAATGTTTGTATAACGTGTTTATATAACTTACCGTATTTACACGTGTCTACTGCTGTCGACGGATTGCGACCACACATGACTTGAAGATCTTGAAGAAACACATGATAGAGCCCCTTTTTCTTTGATTTTTGGTTCTTTGGCGTCAAATCACTCTTCTTCACGTTGGTTCTTCTCCTTCTTTTCGATCGTGCGCCTCGCTTTTCTCGGGACGGCAGAAGCTGTGGCAGGACTCCGAGATCTGCACGGCAGAATGTGGAGGCCATCTTCTCTCCTGCCTTGAGACTTGATCACGGAGAGCTGGGAGGATTACATAGATGTGGGAGATTCGGTTGCTGTAAACGCATTAGATCTGGTACTTACGATTTTAGAGCAAAATGTTGCGTTCTGGAAATGGTGGTATTTGTACTTTCCGGTAGAGCCCATTTGGGGCCAGTTGGTGATGCAGAAGATGCGAGTCTTGCATCATCAAGGCGGTTTTGGTGGACTGGGTCTTAGAATGGCCTATCTATGCAGGAGTACTGACAAAGAATCCAGAAGTCTCAGCAAAATGAGGTTTCAATGTGCGTTAATTCAAGCAACTCTGAAAGAGGACCACTCCACAAAGTGTTATGCAACGTATCACAAGCAAGTTGTTATAGGGAAGCCTTTCAGACTTTCCCACTTCCGCGGCAACGACGGCAGAGAGAAGAGAGCGAGAGAGAGATAGTGCAGGTCTTTCTGGCCATCCCTACCCCACGACCAGCAGCTTCTAGATGTGAAATTTGAGCAGCCAGCCAAAACTTATATATGACAATTTCCAACATAACAAGGGGCTTCTACCAAACGGCAGGCGGATTCAGGCTGTAGTTCATTGCTTTTCAGAGGGCCTTGCATGGGCCATTTCTTCAACGGATGCCTTTTAGAAAAGCAAATTGATTGAACGCTCCACACTTGCACACATTTGTTTTCCTGGCTTTCGTTTCCCTCGTCTCAGGGTTTTTGAGATGGAATGTTAGACGGTTGCTGCATAAGAATGTGGTGAAGGTTGAGGAGTTTGGTACACTTTGGCTCTGTCTGTATGTCGATGTTGCGCGGCTGTATGTGCATTTATTGCATATTGTGTTTGTCATATGGCTTAGCAATGCTATACAATGGGTATATGCACATGGAAGTGCACATGGACTACTGTATTGACAATTATTGGCACACTGAATCATGAGAGAACACATGCCGGCAAGCTGAGGCGCTGGACAGCTCTAGCGATGATTTACTCTTGCTTCATGCTGAATGTCTCTTTCTATGGATGCTCAGCTGGAAAGCCAGGTGCTCCAGGGTGATCAGCAGCATGGAAGACAGCGCATTATAGCTTGGACAGCTCTTGCGCTTGGTAAGTTGAAGGGTTCACACAGTAAAACTAGAATAAAACAAAAACACTAGGCCGCCTTTAGGCGGTGCAAATTGCCCTTATTGCGCCCCTTGTGGTGCAACTGCCAAGGAAGCCTCTATGCTTTCCCCCAGGCAGCGCCCTCAGTTCTGTCAAAACCATGAGTGAGAGGAGAACGAGGGAGGTATGTGCTTTGCTTTTGCTTCCAATCAGTCCGTCAAACTTTGAATGGCAAACCATTCAAGATCAGTGAACTTGTGATTTCCATTGCCTTCAGGTGTTCTCTGATATGTCAGCATCAACCCCATACAGTCCGGCCATGGCCCTTGTGGCCAGCATCTCAGTCTGGGATGGGCTCAATGGTTGCATGTGTCTCAAAGGTGCTGCTGGCTGGCGTCACTGGGACAAGCTGCTTATGAGAACTTTCAGCCTAATTGAGCCGAATACAGGTCCTCAATACACCATTGCTCGGACCAACATGGGAATTTGCATCGACGAGGGTTGAGATGCGGACGTTTGGTCCCTCCACCCAGGTGGGTGCCATCTATGAGATCCCTGGCCCCATGGCTGGCCCTTTGGTGGCCACAGTCTTGGAACCCAAGGCAGGAGCACCCAGAAAGTCAAAGACTGCGGCGAAAAAGGGTATGCTGGCCTTTCAGGTTGTTTAATTGCACATTTTGCTGTAGATTGATTTGCAGTGTTTTGTTTTTCATTCTTAGTTGGGTGCCTTTCGGAACTTCTCCGAAACAAATATATAACTAGCGCTCTTCAATGGCCTTGGCTGGAAACAAGCTCGACTGTGTTTGACATGGCATCATGCCCCATCCCTGCAGACGCTCCTGCGCGTATGTCCCCTGGCATTGGCCTTGGCGTGCGTGATCTTTCTTATTGGTGCCAGTGGCCAAAGCATGATATACAGTGACTTGCCCAAGCAAGAGATTGCTGCTGCGGATTATCATGCAGTATGATGTCATGATCTAACATGTCACATAATGATAGAGCTCAGGTGTCGTCCTACAAACTGGTTATGCAGGACGAGAGCCTTCGGAGGGACATGCACCCCGTACCACTGCGCTTTGACAAAGGGCTGCTCCAGTACTTCAAATATGCTGAAGATTGCTGAATCCATTGAGCCGGTTGCGCAATGGGTGCATTTTTGTGCATTCTATATGAGATGTGGTTGTTATGAACTCAGAGTTTTGGCAACAAATGCCTTCGGGCACCCAAAATTGGGATCGTGCAATCGTGTCCAACATCGAGCACATGTTGCAGCTTTGCTGTCAGGAATAAAGGTCATTGCAAATGGCTATTTTGCATCTTAGCTCCGACCTGGAAAGGGCTAATGACGGAGGAGTCTGGCTAAAGCAGCCTTGCGAAGGTCCAGATCGCATACTAATTTCATTTAATTTGATATCTGACTTCTCAGTAGAGGGCTCCCACTTACACATTTAGCATTGGCTTTTTGAGGCCATGCATTTCAAATCCTTTATATAACAAAGACAAGGTTCTTTCTTATGGCCCTGGCAATTTGTTCGCGCAAAAGGGCAACTCGGATTGTCGAACCTGCGATGGTTGCGAGCTTCACCTAGGCCGTGGCCTATAGCGCTGCCAGTGGTGTATTCCCAGCAGTGGTGAGAACTACTGGGTCAGTGGCTTGAATGAATGGTGCACCACTGGATTCCAAAGATGACCACTGACCTTTGGTTTTTGCCCATGGAAGGTCCATTTCAATCATAGTCATCAATGTGTCATCTCTGTCCTATGCGAGGTTCTGAATTACTCACGATCGAAGTGGTGTCTCAACACCTTTGGCTTCATGGAACAAAAACCCTGACCACTCGACTTTTGGCGGTTCGGATCTGAACCCCATGTTTCGGTGGAAACTCAAATCAAGCAAAAAGCTATAGCATACTATTTCTATAGCCATTTGTACCAGTCTACACCGTACGGACCGTACCATACACACAACTCCACCGGACTCCGTGCCATTGCTCCACGACCTTTTGTGCAGTTCGAGGCTGCTTGCGTGGCTGGTGGGCGTGTGGGCGGCATTCTGTCCCCACTCATTTTCGAGCAGCTGATGATCATGTTCAATGGAATTCTGGCCGCAAGTTTCGGCTAGGGCAAATCCACAGAAAATTGACTTGCTTTGCAGGGTTGCGCAGGGTTGCACTTGGTTGCACCTGAAACCCGACAAAATCGCATGAATGAGTGCCTGGTTTGCCCGCAGGAAGTTGGGTGGTTGGCATTTGCCCCATACGCATGTGGCACGCAGTCGGACCTGTAATCCAAAGGTCATGCACTCCTGCCGCAACACAGTTGGATCCTGATGTTTCCCTTGAAGTGGGTGCCAACAGTGCCGCTCAAACGCCCAAACTGGAGTTGGCAGTGCAGCACAGACAAACACAGTCGGAGCGAGACAAAGATGACAACCAACAGACCGTGACCACCCAATGCGGACCCAATGACGGCCGTGGGATGTGTGGATTCAATTGGATGAAGATGCGCTCCACAAAATGAGACGTCTATGGAGCGCTCAACATGGCGGCCATGGATCCCTTGAGTCTGTTTGTTTCCTCGGGGCTTTTGGGAGTGGACGGAGGATCAGCGAGCGTACGAAAACCACTGATGTGGGCATGGGAGAAGCCCTGTTTTCGCCTAAACTGTTGGCTCTTTCCTTGGGAATCCTGGTGCCAAGGCATACCTCATAAGAATTAGCAAAGAGGTGGCAAGGGGGCCATGGTACGCACACTCAGAGCGTTTGTGCCTAGACTCAAGGTTTCAAAAGTCAACGTAAAGCGTGGAACTTGAGACATGTTCGAAGACTTGTCACGATTCTGTTCCGTTTGGCGGGGCTTCACCCAGGTTATAGGCGGGTTTTTGGTTGAACCACGGTCTCGCTGCATGGGCCGAGGTTGGGGTGCCTTCTTCGTTTTCATGATAGGCGGGCCATTGTTCATGTGAGACTGCCTAGCAGCGGTGCCTAGCAAAGCAGGTGCCAATGGTCATGACTGGACTCTCAGTCGACCCTGGGAGTTTCATGGATGCAGGAGGAAATTCTTGTTAGTAGTAACAAGTGCCACGCTAGTAGTAACAAGTGCCTTACTAGTAGTAACAAAAAGCTATTAGAATTAAATCTAAATTAATAGCTTCTTGTTACTAGTAGCAATGCCCTTGTTACCAATAGCGATGCACTTGTTCCTAGTAGGGGTGCCCTTCTTACTACTAGTAATGCCCTTTGCTACTAGTAGCGTCGTTGCTACTGGCCGTGGGGGGGCAAACAGCTGCCACTTCCTTTGCAAGTTGTTACGGTTTGCATGGAGCTATATATATATATATTTAATATTGAGAGAGATGACTTATTATATACTGTGGGGGCACGGGTCCTGCTTGCAGAATGGCATAGAATGAATGGCTTGAAGTATGAACGTGCGGCGAAAGGCCCTTTGCAATTGTTGTTTGCTTTTTTGCCTTTTGCTTGAACCTGACATTTCGCAGTCGGCAACCTCCTGAACTGCATCATACTTGCAACTCAGCTCGAATTGATGTGAACATTGAATATATCATATGCAAGCCATTCACACACAATGTGCTTTGAGCAATACTTTCGTGGTGTAGATGAAGATGCATGTATATATATATATATATGTATACACCCAAGACATGCTCAAAGTCCAGTTTTGAAGCTTGTGCAACCCCTGTGTGACTTGAAGTAGTCAAATGCCCCAACCCTTAAGACTTAAGATATTTTGGATACCTTGGAGCTACGCAGTGGCTCACGTGAGTCGTGACTGGTGCCGTTCGTAGATGTTGGGCACCGCGGCGCCATCTGAGTGTGCTTTGGATTTGGAAGATGTGGATGACATCGACAGCTTGGAGGAGCTGAAACCCATGCTTGGCATCTCAGCATATGAACAAGGACTGAGGTGTTGGTTCTTCTGCTGGAAAAAGTGCGCTGAGAAAGGCCTTTCAAAGAAAGTCGTACTTGTGACCCTGCTTAGCTTTTCAGATTGAGCTCCAGACTCCAGATCTGAAAAACCCGGTGAACTTGGTGAATGATCCTCTAAGAAATGCCAGTCTTTTGATTCCATATCATGCTTCATATCTTGCTTTTTGGACCTTCATTTTATGATATTTTATGGAGAGTGTATTTTTCCAGAGTTTGGGGGGCCTTTTTTTTTTATTCTGCTGGCCTTTCTTGACATGCCTTGTGAACCGTTGACAAGCATTTTGCAGAGGAGTAGGGTGCTGTAATGCACTTTGGTTATATATATAATATACATAAATAGGTAGTTATATGGTGCTACAGACATGGTTTGGCAAGTCATCGAACCAATGCTGTGAGAGCATCTGGATCTGGCAAAGCACTTTAAGTATCGAGAATTTAGGTGTTGACATGTGTGACGCAAGCATGGGCTTGTAATGTACTACACATATACCTGGTCCTTGGGCCTCCATAAATGCCGGTCAGTTGACTCTATGACATGATATGAGCTGCACAAGGGGAGAGGTATCAAAAAAAAATATTAATAGGCATCAAGAAAAAAAATGATAGGCATCAAGAAAAATAATAATAAGCATCAAACAAAAAATTGTTTGGTAACCGGTCCTCTAGTCCTTTCATCCTCTCTCTGGACCCTTGGTCCTCTGGTCCCTTGGTCCGCTGGTCCTTTGGTCCTCTGGTCCCTTGGTCCCCTGGTCCCTTGGTCCTCTGGTCCTTTGGTCCTCTGGTCCCTTGGTCCCCTGGTCTGTTGGTCCTCTGGTCCTTTGGTCCTCTGGTCCTCTAGTCCTGTGGTCCTCTGGTCCCCTGGTCCCTGGGTCCTCTGGTCCTTTGGTTCTCCTGCTACATCCCTTTATCCTTCTGCTGCCGCCGCTGCTTTTGAAACATGCTGTCCATACTTGTTTGCGTTACGGGGGAGGCGCTGCGCCCTCCCCCGAACCCCCTCCCGCTTCTTTAATCCTCCAAGAAAGCTCCAAGTCAAGCCCAAAGAAACGTTAAAGAAGCGAAGGCCCAAGCGAAGCTTAAAGTCCAAAGAAACCCTAAAGAAACGATGCCCTGAGCCAAGCCTAAAGAAACCCTAAAGAAACGAAGCTCTAAGCCAAGCCCAAAGAACCCCCAAAGAAACGAAGCTCAAAGCCAAGCCCAAAGAAACCCTAAAGGGTTGAAGCCTCAAGCCAAGCACAAAGAAACCCTAAAGAAACGAAGCCCTCAACCAGGCCCAAAATAGAACCCTAAAGAAGAAAACCCAAAAGTGAAGCCGTGAGCAAAGCCTAAAGAAACCTTAAACCCCTGATCCCTTGGTCCCTTTGACCTCTTGCTCCCTCTGTTGCTTCCTGAATGTCCTAGTCCCTTGAGCTTTACTGGTTTGCTGGTCCTAGTCTCTTGGTCCCCTGGTCCCTTCGTCTCTTTGGTCGTTCCATATCCTGGTGACCGCTCCAGATTGATATTGAATCATGTTCTACAATTATTGCTATTGTTATAGAAACCTTTTTCACTGATTCAAAAAAGGCTGCTCCAGCGCCCTGCGTCTGCACTGCACCACTACTACCGTTACTATGATTATTAGTTCTACAATTATTGCTATTGTTTCTGTTTCTGCGTCTTGTCCTGTTTCCTCCTACTACAACAAC